CAGCTAATGGACAGAGTGCAAGTCCCCTCTGCAAGAAGCTGAGCCAGGATGACAGCCTTTGGGACCAGGGACTGGGCCACAGATGCCTCTTTGTCCTCATGGTTTGACCTGTGGTTATTGAGGTGAACGCCCCCCCAAATCCATTCACCCGCTTGCCTCATGAATGTAATGCATGGTGCATGGTAGACACTTTCCAAGTTGGCAATGGAGGAAAGAATCTCAGGAACCCTGTGGAAAAGGGAACCTCAGAGTCAGAGCTAAGGGGTGCAGGAGGCCCTTGTACGTATGCTGCCCAGACCAGCTAGGAATTTTCCTCTCCTTAATACCTTTAAATAGAGTCAAGATTGGGGTCAGCTTCATGCATGGAGAATTCGTTAGCTCTAGAAGTAACTGCACAGCTTCCTAGCATGGCGTCCTTCTGGATAAGTGAGGCTAGCTACAGGTTGTCTTTGCTTTCATGCTGTTGAGTGGCCACTGGATTGCAGCGCTTATCTCGCACATCCTCAGAGGAGGGACAGTCACAGAACTGGAGGGGTGAAGACACATCCTCCAAAGCCTCTCCCCCCACATCCCCTGTGCCTCCAAGGTCCTCAGAGAAGGAGAATTCTGGCTTCTCTCCCTGGCGCAGCCTCATTCCCCTCTACCTCCTTCCCTGGCGGTGTCTCTCAAGTGAGCCCCTTAGCCCCTCTCTGAGCAGATGGTTTACCCCCAGAGGGCCAGCCTCGGCTTCTTTTCAGAGGTCTGGGATTGAGTTTCTTTTTTTTTTGCCAATATTATTATGCTTTGCTCTTTTCAAAAGTAGTACATGTGAATGGCATACATTTTAGAAAGTATCAACAAGCACAGGAAAGGAAAGAATTAACTGTTTATCATCCAACACCCTGTCATAATTGTCGCCAATTCTGGTGACTTCCTTGAGTCTCCCCTCTTAACACAGGCATGAATAGGTTTTAATTTTAAAAATGTGATCACACTGTCTATTCTTCTCCCACTTGTTCTCCTCAACCCACAGTTTATCGTGATCATATTTCTTTTATTAAACACTCTGCCACAACATTACAAGCGGATGTATAGCATTCTGTTGTGTGGATGTACCATAGTTTATGTAATCAGTTTTGTTTCGTGGAACCTCTAGGTTGACTCCCATTTTGTGTTGTCTGCCATGACTCTTTCCTCAGGATGAATTCCAAAAGAAGTAATTACTGGGTTTAAGGATTTGTGCTTTCAAAGACTTTTAATGCATTTTTATCAAACTGCCTTCCAGAAAAATCCTCTCTAGAACTATATAAAAGTACTTCTTTCTCTACAGCCTTTACAAGTGCAGTGTTATCATAGTTGTGGGAGGAGTCAAGCTTATTTAATAATTAAAAATGATAACTTTTTTTAAATTTGAAGCTACCTGGTTTCTAGAGAGGCTAAATATTTTTGCCTCATGTTCACTTGTCATTTGTTTATTTTCATGTGAATTAACGGTAAGATCCTTTGTTCAATGCTAAATGAGGGATGCTTGCTTCCCTCTTATTGGTTTATAAGAGCTCTCTACATATTAAGGATATTCACTTTCATCCATCTATGTTAGAAAGGTACTTCTCATTTTATCATTTGCTTTTCAATTCTATTTATGATGTTTATTGACTGGGACTGTACTACTCTGCTTGCTAGACTCTTTTTTTATATGACTCAATGACATTTTAAACTTCACAAATCCAAGCGGAAATTCATTATTCCCCTCTCTTGCCTCACCTGCTCTTCCTGCTGACTTGCTTTTTTCTATTAATGTCACCACTGTTTTTCTGGTCACCGAGGCTTGAATTGTTGGGGTTATCTTGGGTTCCAACATTTCTCTTTTCCCCTATATCCCGTCAGTTGCCAGCCCACAGGCAATCTTTGTGAAGATTCAATTTCTGTCATTTCCCTGGTGGGCGGGACCTCTAACACAATGGTAAGTTCCGGTTCTCATTGTTTCTTGACTGGACTTTGAAAATGGCCTCATAAGTTCATACCTTGCTTCCCCAACCCTAGTCCCTTGACTTGTCATTTCTCCTCCTTGCCCCTCCTGCACACCGCCACCACATTAATCTTCCTAAAGTAGAGCTTAAGCATGGAACTCTCTGGTAGCAAACCACCAACTCCCCATTGTCTTGTATTTAATTACAACCTCTTAGCCTGGCCTTAATTTCCTTTCAATGGAATCTCCCACTATCTCGGCCAAGTTGCTCCTCAAATAAGCTCACAGCTTTCTGCCCCTTTACCTTTTGCTCCAGCCATTCCCTCCTCCTAGAGTTCCCTCCCACCATTTCCACCTACCAAAATCCATTCAGAAAGCTCCCCACCTACATGTGCCACTGCCAGCTTTCCCAAGCTTTTCTGATTCTTTAAAGTGAATTCTCTCTCTTTGAAATTCCCAGAACAATTTGCTCAAGGTTCTCTTGTAAAACAAATCCTATTCCATCATCTAGTGGAGCCTTCTAAGGTTTTACTTTCCTACCAAAAAAGCAGAGTCCTTTGAGGGCACTCTTACTATTCGTCTCTGTTCTTCCACAGAACCTGCAGTGTTTTGCCACAGCTGATATTCAGTAGGTATTTATGGAATGAAAAGCAACCCTCCAGGTAGCTGAATGCCTGGGGATCATGGGGCACTGCTGTTTCCCATCCCACTTCCGGTCTCCAGGGACAGGACATAACTATCAGCTAATGGACAGAGTGCAAGTCCCCTCTGCAAGAGGCTGAGCCAGGCTGACAGCCTTTGGGACCAGGGACTGGGCCACAGTCACCTCTTTGTCCTCATGGTTTGACCTGTGGTTATCGAGGTGAATGCTTCCCCAAATTCAATCATCACTTTGCCTCATGAATGCAATGCATGGTGCATGGTAGACACTTTGTAAGTTGGCAGCTGAGAAAAGGATTTCAGGGACCTCATAGGAGAGAGAACCTTGGAATCAGAGTTGAACGGCAGCTAAGGGGTGCAGGAGGCTCCTGTGACCCTGACCATGCATGCTGCCTGGACCAGGAGGACTTTTTCTCTCTTTAATGTATTTAAATAGAGTCAAGATTGGGGTCAGCTTCATGCACGGAGACTTCTTCAGCTTTAGAGGTGACTCTGCAGCCAGCTTGGGAGTATGCAACTGACACAGTCTATTTTTAGCCTCCCAGAGACCGTGACCAACATCCCAAGATGAGGGTGGGCACACCTGCTGCATTCTAATGAGGCAGCCCCAATTGCCTCTGCCAACCAGCCGGGATCTCTCTGACCTCAAATCTGATGTTGCTAAACTGGGAAGTCTGCTTATTTCCCAGAGGCTGTAGCCTAGATACACCAGGAAAATGGGACCATCACACTCCCCTGAGCTCACTCCCCTACAGCCCAGGACACAGGGCAGTCTGGGGGCTGTACGCACAGCACAATGGAGAGATGGAGTCACTTGGGTTTCTTGATCTTGCTCTGTCCTAGGGCCTCCCTATTTCCCTTGTTGGGAAGGAGATTAATAAGTCTGAGCTGATTCAGCTCACAAATGAGAAAATCAAGGCACGAAACAGACATGTTTATGTAATCTGAATAATACTGATAACGGTAATAGTAATATTAGAGCTTACTATTGCCAGGCACTGTTCTCAACACTTCATATGTATGAACTCACCCAAACTTTTTGACTGCTTGCTCAGATGGGTTTTACCATGATGTCTATTTTATGGAGGAGGAGACTGAGGCACATGATGACAAATGACTTCTGAAGGTCATTTGTCAGCCACTAAGCAGCAGGGCTGTTTTTCAAAGCCAGGCAATGTGGTCTCAGGATTTATGCTTTATACCGTACCACCTGACTCTCAATATCTGTTTTTAATTTTACTAGAGGCAGGATGGGATCCAGGAGTCCCAGAGGACCAACTACTGGATAATCCTGCTTCTCTGTATTTTAAACTTTTACCCTGCTTTGAGGCCTTTGCTGTGCTGTGCACACCTGGATTCTTACGCTCCGGGGAGAGAAGTTTCTTCTAGGATGACCTCGTGTCTGCAGTCAAGCCAAATGTTTGGGCTCCAAAACTCCCTGAACTTCCTCTCCTTCTCCCTCTTCCCCTTAGCCTGTGAAGGCAGAGGTGCTGGCCAGGGACCGGCAGCAGCAGTGGGGTGTAGAGCGAGGCTGCATGGCAGGGTTGGGAACCCAGAAAGAGCATGCTTGGTTGTGTGCAGGCAGGAGGCCACCATCAGCGTGGGCATTCACAGCTCAGAGTAGACTTCTGCCGAAGTTCAGAGTGAAGTTCACAGAAAGCAGGAGGGAAGACAATAGGTGTGAGGCCCCAGAACCTAAGAGACCTGCATTTTGGGGGACAAGTGCGGTCTGCTGGAGGGAAGCCCAGGGACTCGATCTTCCTAAGGGTGCAGGTGGGATTCAGTTTAACAAATACCGATTATGTGCTAGGCCCTTTTATAAGCACTTCACAAATAACAACTACCTGATCCTCAGGGTGATTCTAGGACGTGGGGATCGTTTTATTCCCATTTGAGGGATGGGGAAACCAAGGCCCTGAGAGGTTAATTTTGCCCGAGGTCGGGTGCATAGCTCCTGAGTGGCAGAGCTGGGGTTCCGGTTTTGGCAGACTGGCTCTGGAATCTATACTCCAGCCACCAGGCTATGTGACGCTATGCATCTCTCCCTTCAGTGAGAGTTCACTATTCGCCTATAAAGGAATGTATTTTTGTCCTCATTTAGCAGATCTGGAAACTGAGGCCCAGATTGGCTCAGGTCACCTGACTAGCAAGTGATGAGATTGGATTAATCTGAGGTCTTTCTGGCTCCTCAGTAGCATGGTGCCTCTCTACAAGTCACAGCCCTCAGTGGGCCTGCCAGAAAGCCGGAAGGGTCCATCTGCCCCTTAGGAGTGGCTGCTGTGGCGACTGGAGCCACGGGGCTCAGGGAGGGGAAGGAAGGAAAGGCGGCATCTCAGAGGGCAGGGCCTCAGTGCTGCGGTTGACACCAGGCCCCTTCTCTTCCCCTCAGGTGAGCAGTCCCCCCCCGCAGCCCCCTCAGCCCGTCGTCCCACCCAAGCCTGTGCAATGTGTCCATCATGTGTCCACTCAACCCAGCTGCCCAGGACGGGGCAAGATGTCCAAGCTGCTGAATCCGGAAGAGATGACCTCGAGAGATTATTACTTCGACTCCTACGCCCACTTTGGGATCCACGAGGTAAAGCATGCTGAGCTCGGCCCTGCTGTTCCATCACTGTTTTCTGAGGCAGCGTAATGTATTGTCTACTGTCATAAAGGAGGTTTTCTCAGGGGCCCAAGGCCCCTGGCCCTCCCTCCTGTGAGCCTCTCTGGGAGATGGTCAGGGCCAGGCCAGCAGCAGGTGAGTATCTAGAAGCATATGTCTGTGTGTTTCTCGGCCAGAGAGCAAGGGGGGCTTAAGGTTTCTTTGTTTTATGGTTCGGCCCCTGAGTCTTCGAGACCCTAAGCCCAGGTGATCCAGGTGGACCAGATGTCTTTGCTCTAGGTCCCTGCTCTAGGAGCTCAGATGCTTTGCAGCTTGAGTCCTAAGGCTGAGAACACCTTCCAGAGGCCATGATGTCTGGTCTTCAGGAGGCCTGAACATGAACCCTTAGGTCCTAGACCAATGAGCACCTCCAGGGGAAGAAATACAGCAAGCTTCCTTGGAAACCTGGCCCAGGTCTGCCATCCTGATTGATTCTTGGGAAATTCTTGTGTCTAAATGCTTGACTTGTACCACAGCAGGGGAAGATTTATGTTCCTTGTGGAACAGAACAGAACTCCCCTACAGCCAGGAAGCCTCCACCCACCTCACCTCCAGCATTTTCTGCAGCCACCCAGACTGGGGAGTGCTTATTCATTAACCAGGTGCTTACACAGTGCTGGGCACTGTTCTAAGCACATTATACATATCATTTCACTTAATCCCCTAAGAACCCTATGAAGAAAATATTTCTATTATCCCCTTACAGTATGAAGAAATACTGAAAAAGAAACAAAGCCTTGCTTGCTTTGCAAATGCGTTTTTGAAATAAGTCTCCAAGTTCCCCTTTCAATTAGATGCCTCTGTAAACCCTCCCTGTGACAAAATGGTAACACTGTCACTGTCAGAAGAGTATTTAAAAAATAATAGCCAGCGTTTCTTTCCTTTTTTTTTTTTTTTTTTTTGAGTGCTTACAGCATGCTGGGTGTTGTTCCAAGATTTTACATGATTGGCTCATTTATTCCTCGGGTCAACCCTATGAAGTTGGGTTTTGTCCCCAATTATAATTATTTGTGTGTTTGTTTTTAGACAAGCCAAATTTGTATTACTTAGTATTTACTCTTTTTGTTTCTGTTTTGATTTCATATATTCCTTTTTTAAAGAGTAACATTATTCCCTATGCCACCCACCAACCTACTTATAAAATAATATAAATTCATTATAATGAACTTGAGGAATACAGGATTATTTGTCCCCAGTTTATACATGAGGATGTGAGATCTTAAGAATCCAGATCAACTTTCATTCCTTGCGTCTTTTGCGCGCAAGGTCACAAGCTAACAAGTGGCAGAGCTAGGAATGAAACCTTTACGTTTGGGACCCAGGAGTTTCATCCGTAGCTACCATGCCTTATAGACTTTAAACCAGGTCTTTCTTTCTGGGAACTTTGACTTTGTTTCTGGTGGTTCCTTTGCAATTCCATATGGAGACAGAGAGAGAAGGAGGGGTCCCTCAGTTAATTCTAGACTCAGAGGCTTGGCTCATTCACCTTGGGGAGACTCAGGGTTTGACCCCCAAGAACTGCTGTTCACATAAAATTGTTAGGCGTGGGACTTGCAGGGGAGGAGGAGTGGGCCCTGTGCTTGTTCTGGGGGTCCTGGCCTAGGAGGGCCAGGGCAGCTGAGCCTGCTCCTGTTCTTGGTGGCTCACATGTCCCATCTTAGGGCAGATAAGTGAGCTGCTGTACCTTCCCTGATCCTGTTCCCCATGGAAGTGGGGGTAGGGGTGAGGTGGTGCACTGAGCCCTATCCTAGGCCTGTGAGAGGTTCTGGGAGGCAGAAAGGACATCTTTAAGAGCTCACCCTGTCCCTAGTTAGAGGACATGTCATCTACATGACAAATTTTTTTTTTAAAGATTTTTTATTTATTTGACAGAGAGAGACACAGTGAGAGAAGGAACACAAGCAGGGGGAGTGGGAGAGGGAGAAGCAGGCTTCCTGCCGAGCAGGGAGCCCTATGTGGGACTCGATCCCAGGACCCTGGGACCATAAGCAGAGCCGAAGGCAGACGCTTAACAACTGAGCCACCCAGCCCCCCCCACAACATGACAAATTCTAACAGGCATGTGGGTCTGGGCACCTATTTCAATGAGGTAGATTCCTAGGAGAGATGGTAATTCCCCAAAATGCCTCCCCTTGGGCTTGCCTGAAATCCCTCCCCTAGAAACCAATCAATCATGATGTGCACCTCATGCCCTTCCTTCCCTGGTCTTTAAGCTCCACCCCCCCAATGGAGCCTCCTGTGATCGACTTCTGGGACAACTCCCTCTGGATAACTAAGTTCTTGGCTCCTACAATGTGCTCTCCTGTGCTAGGATTAACTTCTATAATTCCCTCAGGACTTGGTTCCCCTGCCTCTAACCCAGGGCTTGACACTGACTGATTTGTAAAGGTTTGTTAACATGGTTGCTAATCTGATCACTCAGGTGATGCCTGGTCAGCACATGGCTGGGCATCCTGGAGGGTGTGATCTCCAGTGGGAGAAGAAACCAAGGGCCATCAAATAAATATTGTACCAGCTTCCCTCCATTTCATGTATTTATTTATTTTTTTATTCTTATGTTAATCCCCATACATTACATCATTAGTTCTAGATGAAGTGTTCCATGATTCATTGTTCATGCACAACACCCAGTGCTCCATGCAGAACGTGCCCTCCTCAATACCCACCACCAGGCCAACCCATCCTCCCACCCCCCTCCCCTCTAGAACC